TAGATAGATAGATAGATAGATAGATAGATAGATAGATAGATAGATAGATAGATAGATAGATAGATAGATAGATAGATAGATAGATAGATAGATAGATAGATAGATAGATAGATAGATAGATAGATAGATAGATAGATAGATAGATAGATAGATAGACAGACAGACAGACAGACAGACAGACAGACAGACAGACAGACATGGATGATGGATGGATGGATGGATGGATGGATGGATGGATGGATGGATGGAGATAGATAGATAGATAGATAGATAGATAGATAGATAGATAGATAGATAGATAGATAGATAGATAGATAGATAGATAGATAGATAGATAGACGGACGGACGTACGGACGGACAGACAGACAGACAGGGATGGATGATGGATGGATGGATGATGGATGGATGGATGGATGGATGGATGGATGGAGATAGACAGACAGACAGACAGACAGACAGACAAGGAGGAGGAGGAGGAAGACGAGACTGTGGGGTCCTTGGTGCTCTCAAACCTTAGTTGTTTTCTTGCAGATATTTCATTACCCAACTAGGTAACCTCATCAGTGTTAGAAAGGGAGTGGACTTTATAAACAGCGCAAACCCCACTCCCTTTTAGCATAGCTGGCTAAGGAATTCTGGGAGCTGAAGTCCACAAGTCTTAAAAGTTGTCAAGGTTGCAGACCCCCTGGCCTAGGCCCCTCCATCAACCATCTCCTTTTCCCCCATCCTGTCCTAGGTGACACCAACGAGAATCAACTGCCCGCAGGGGAGGAGGAAAAAATTGCTAAGATGGGGTACCCCAGTTTGGGAGAAAACGCCAAGCTTGAAGTCATTATTGAGGAGTCTTACGAGTTCAAGGTAAATAGGAGACTTTCTCTTTCCCTCACCCAAACTTTTTCACGTCTTCTTCGGGGTCCCTCCATCCCCAGTTCGCTTCTCTTTCAAATTCAGGTAGTCCTCGCCTTACGACCGTTCGTTTAGTGACTCTTTGAACTTTCAACGGGACTGAAAAAAGTGACCCAGGACCGTTTTTCACCCTTACGACTGTGTGAAAGCAGGATCCCCCAGGGTCACGTGATCCAAATTCAAACCCGTGGCAATTTATTTGTATTTATGACAGTCGCAGTTATCCCGGAGGAAGCCAGAGTCACTTCACAAACGCGTGACCGACTTGAGAACTTAACGGTCGTGGCGAGGAAGGTCGTAAAATGGGGCGAAACTGACTTAACCGCTGTCTCACTTAGCAACATAAATTTTGGGCTCAGCGGTGGCTGTAAATCGAGGACTACCTGTATTTTTTTTTTAACATCCCTCTCATAGGCCACGCCGGGCTGTGCTCAGTTCGCTTCCATCGGAGGCAACACCAAAGGAAAAAAAATCATCTTTAGATTGCTATAGAGGGAGGGGGGAGGGAAGGAAGGGAGCCCCCCCCAAGAACCCCTCCCCATTTCACTTCTACGCAACCTCTTCTCCTCCAGAGCACTGTGGACAAATTAATCAAGAAAACTAACCTGGCTCTCGTAGTGGGAAGCAGCAGCTGGAGGGAGCAATTTGTAAGCGCCGTGACGGTCAGTGCCGGTAAGGGAATTGAATCGAATTGAATCGAACTGAATCTAACTGAATTGAATTGAATCTAGTTCAATCGAATTGAATCAAATTGAATTGAACTGAATTGAATTAAACTGAATTGAATTGAATCTAATTGAATTGAATTGAATCTAGTTGAATCAAATCGAATCGAATGAAATTGAACTGAATCTAGTTGAATTGAATCAAATCGAATCGAATTGAATCTAGTTGAATTGAATTGAATCTAATTGAATTGAATCAAATTGAATACTTTATTTGGGGAAGTGTGATTCAACACACAAGGAGGCTTTTAAAAAGAGACCGGGTGGCCGTGGATCAGAAATAGTATCGGTCACCCGCAAGAGCGGGTGGGGTTAGACTGGATGACCTCCCAAGGTCCCTTCCAACTCAGCCGCTGTTCCTGAGAGAGGCTGAATCCCTGTTTTGAATAACTCCCCCCCCCGACAGGTGACGACGAGGACGAAGACTCCGGCGAGGACCGCCTCCCTTCCTGCTTCGACTACATCATGCACTTCCTCACCGTCTTCTGGAAAGTTCTTTTCGCCTTTGTGCCGCCCACCGAGTACTGGTGCGGCTGGGCCTGCTTCCTCGTCTCCATCTGCCTCATCGGGGTGCTGACGGCCCTCACCGGG